CGAAGGCCGGTTGCCCTCAGGGGAAGGGGGGAAGGGGGAGGCTTCCGGCCCTGGCGCGGAGCGGGCTTGCCCGGGAGCTTCAGCCCCTTTCCAGGGCCCTTCTGGAAGCGCACTTCTTCCTCGCGAGCGCTGGCTTCGCGGATCCGTCGAGTGTGCCAACCTCAGATGGCTGGTTTGCGTTAATTGAAGCTGTTTCTACCCATGCTGCTTTCCCTGCTCCTCCCCAGTACTTGGAGGAGGGAAAGGCGGTAGCTTGCGCTGGTGGGCTGTTTGAATGGCACGCTGAAGCACAAAGGCCTACCAGTCCCAATAGTTTGTTGCATTTATCTAATAAATTTGAATATGCTGAAGGAAGTTGTTGCCCTGCAGTGGAAGGACAACTGCCTCTGGGTTTGCAGCAAAGTTCTACATCTGTCTGGCACTTGCTCGAAAGCAGTTAGCTTCTGCTAGGATGAGCAGCTACAAGCCCTGTCCCTGTTATCCAAAGTGAAAGAAGACACTTAAACCACTTTTTCTGCCTAGCAGGAATAACTGAAGGGCATTTCAGTGTGTGGTATACTACCTGTATTTGCATCACTGCACATCTTATGATAACTTGTTTCTTTTCCTTTTAAATTATTTTTTACTTTCTTGTTGAATAGACTACAGTTGGTAGAAGCCTCTTTGGGCAGGCGCTGCCTAGCTCCAAAGTCCTGCTGGTTTGGCTGTCAGCACTGCCTTAACCATTTTTACAGGGTTGTGTCTTCGATAATTGGAGCACTTTCTAAAGTGCTCTCTAGAAGTTCAAAATCGGTGTGATATAAACGATGTGGTATCTTGGTTCAGTGTCCTGCTTAACAGCAGCCAGTACAACTGTGCTTTAAAAGAAAATGCAAGAAAACCCAACGTACGCATCAGAATAATAAGGGTCCCTACTGGGCTCTTCCAGATAACCTGGTCCTAATGCATGAAGGCTTATGGCTCTTCCCTTGTTTTGGTTTTCTTTCTCCTAACAATAAGATTTATACCTATAGGAAAACACAATAGTTATTATTCACACTGATTTTTGCCCTGTCACCTAGACGTGTATTCAGTAGGGCAGGTAATAGTCAGAGGAAACTTTTCTCAGGCTTCTGAACTTGTCACTTTTTTGTACTTCTGTGGTAGGAGAAGGAACAATTTTATCAATTCAAGCAATTTTTTTTCCCCTTAAGGTAAAATAATAGGAAGTTCCCAAGGAAATGTTTGAGATGTAATGCATTAGTTCTGCAATACAGATGGTCCCACTGGCATTAATTTTAATAAATTCTGGTCCAGTATCTGATATGGATATTGTAAAGCGTCTGAAGTGATAAACAGTTTAAGTCAGAAGCCCAAATAATTTCTACCTTAAAGTTCTAAAAGAACTGGCTTACATGCCTGGCTGACTGATAGGTTTTTCTATAATCTGATTATTGGGATAATTTCAGAATATATATGATTCCCCAGCAAGATTCTGAGAGACCAAATACAGAATTCACTCAATTACGATGCAGTTCTGTAACTCCTAGTCTGTTCTGTTTTCTCTATGCTCTCTTAGGTTTTGTCAAAGAAACCCAACTTTTTTTAAATACTGAGTTTAGTTGAAAAAGGCAAAGGTGTGTATGTAATCAGATGCCAGAAATGTAGTTCGCAAGACACTCTGATGCTAAAATAACAGCTTTTTTTAGAACACGCTGACTGAACTGGCTGATGCACCTCGTCCATTGTTGTTAATAAGGGATCCTTAGTGAAATGCTCCCAGGAAATCAGAGTTGCAAGTCCTGGAACCAAGCCTTGTCATCAGTGAGCGGCAAATAAAAATGATAGTGCTGGAAAAAGTACTTTATAATGAAGTTTGGCAGAGTCTCTTCGGAGTCCCTGGTAAGACATGCCTGTTCAAGCACAATGCACTTAGGAACAGCCGGATACCAGCCCCCCTTGGGCAGTTCCTTTCAAATCTAGTATCCTCTGGCATACATGAAAGTGGACTTAAATGGTCTAGTCTCCTTTGTACGATTTTTTTGTTACAGTGTGTAGCTTTGAATTCCCTTCTTTTTCCATTTCTGATCAGGAAAAGTCTTGCTGCTTCTGTTTCTCTGTGTAACTTTTTTCTGGGCTTCTCTGAATCTCCTTCTACCATGTTATTTGAGACAGAATTTAAAGAACTGAAAACTGTATTCCAGGCATGGGAATGCTGTCAGTCATGGTATAAAAATTCGTACTGTTTTCTTGTTGTTCCTTGTAAATCCTAATATTTGCCATTTTTCTCTTCTGTCACTGCATTTGAACACTGAACCGATATCTTCACTGATCTGTCCAAAGTGTGGGTCAGCATTTTTCTATCAGCAGCTGATTAATTTAAGCCCAATAATATGCTTTGGTATCAGCTTCCAGTGTGTCTTTCTCTGCAGTTGCCTCCATAAATATTACATGTTGTGTGCTCACCTCATATATTAGCGTTGAAAATGTTGGATCCAATTAGCAGCACTGGAAATGGTGTTTTGTAGCGTGCTTGCAAACTTTCTGTGCTGTGTAACCTGTTAATTAGATCACAGATTGTGTACACTTCAAAAATCTTGCTTGTCGTTTGCTCGAATTACTTGCTGTAGCCAAGTGAAAAATGTTACAGAAATAATGCAAGCCACAGACTGTACAATCATCTAAGTCTTTCCTGCAGAAGAACAAGCTCTGACATTTGGAACAGTTATCTGTGCCATAATTACTGTTTCAGTAGACTCACTGAAGTATGAAAAATCAGTGCATCTGTTTTGCAGGAAATAATCTTGAATATGAAGTGCGGATTTGTTGTACAGTTTGTGTTCCTTTGAAGTTGAACGCATAACTCAAAAGAGCTATTTGTGTTAAAATCTTTAAGGTGAGCCGGATAGTGAAGTTAAGTTGGACTCCCTCCTCGCTCTGTACTTGGAGTATTTAAAATCATACTAACAGCTTGCGTTTGGAATAAAATAAGTAAATGCACTAATGGCATAGCTTTTATACATTGACTTTATTGCTTTGCTTTTGTGTTTAAATAGAAACTACTATTTCTGTGGTATTTTTTTCAACACAATAGCTGCTTTTTTGGTGATTTTACACATTTTAAAGTTACGTAAGGATTGATAGGACTGATTGGAAACAAAAATTAACACAGCTTATGTGAACAGTAAATGCTATTTGGAAAATGTCCATGTCCCTCATTGTTAGTTCAGTATTTTAATATTATACTTCTTTTTAGTGCTTCATTCAGATAAATAACTTAATTCAAACAAAAAAAAAATCAAATTTTGCAAGTAACCTGTTTTCTTGGTGTTTGTTTTGTTTTTCAGTCTCACACAATTCTACTTGTCCAGCCTACCAAGAGGCCAGAAGGCAGAACATATGCTGATTATGAATCGGTGAATGAGTGCATGGAAGGTGGGTGCAGACATGGTAGTCAAAAACTGTTGTTAAACCCCCGTTTTTGACATACTCCCAAACTTACTAAGTAAGAAAATAAGTTGCTGTTCATGCTTTCCCAAAGTAATTCACAAAAAAAATGCAAAAATCTCATGCTTTTAGTTTACTAATGTTTTAGCAAACTAAAAAATATTTATTCTTTGTTTCTAAAACAAAGAATTTGTTTTAGAAAAACAAAATTTTAGAAAAACCAAAGAATTGTAAACCAAAGAACATTCCTTTTTATAGTAAATGCCTCTTTTTGATTTAACTAGATTGAACCACATTCAGTTCATGATAGTAGGCAATGTTCTTGGTGGGGCTATGCAGCAGACTTGCCTGAATGCATTTCATTGCAGAATCAGAGCCTAACTCACTAATTTTTGTGCCAGCCATGTAAAGGAAAGATTGCTACTGGAAATAATATATAAAATAAAAGTATGTGTGCAATTGATACATAATTTGCAGCCTCGTGGCATGCATGCCAGAGAAAAAAATCCTGCATGACTTTAAGAGACACATAGTGAGCTTGGAAAGAAGATTGA